AAGAAGAAGAAGAAGAAGAAGAAGAAGAAGAAGAAGAAGAAGAAGAAGAAGAAGAAGAAGAAGAAGAAGAAGAAGAAGAAGAAGAAGAAGAAGAAGAAGAAGAAGAAGAAGAAGAAGAAGAAGAAGAAGAAGAAGAAGAAGAAGGGCTGCTCACCACCCCCAGGGGCTTCAGGTTTGCTGACCTGTGGCTCAGAAGTGTAAGTCACCTGGCCAACCATGCCTGGGTGCAAAAAAAAATACAGGGGGAAGAAAAAAACTGCAAAAAGAAGAGTTACAAAGCAAAGCCCCCAGTCAAACTGCATCGCCAAAGCTTCCCCAACAGACATTATTCCTTTCCAACTCAACGAAATGAAAATCCTTTTGCAAGATACATTTGCAGCCTTTGTATCCAGCCAGAATAACTGGCTAATTATTTCAGGGTGGGTGGAGGGGTTTGTTTAAAAGGGGTCCATAGGAGCTGGTTCCTCCATCTGTAATCCGATACACAGACATATATAGATCTCTTTCCCTTCCCCCCCCCACCCATTCCCCCCTCCTCTTCCTCTATGTGTGGGCACAGCTGTTCCCAATAAGCTCAAAATGCTTTCACGATGTATGGATGTTCGGAGGGAGGAGGAGAACAAGGACTTTAAAAAAAAGAAAATAAGATCATTCCCATATTAAACCGGGGAATGTCTCACGAGCAACAAGGAAATGGTGACGGAGCCAAGCCGGGCCTCTCCGAGAAAGTGGAAAAGTGGAAGGCAGAGAGACAGAGTCGAAATGGGACACCAGCAGGGCAGAGCGTGCACAGAATACAGAATAAAAGAGCTGGAAGGGACTTTGAAGGTCTTCTAGTCCAACCCTCTGCTGGGTTGCTTTTTGAAGGGATAGCAATAACACTTAAGACTTATATACCGCTTCACGGTGCTTTCCAGCCCTCTCTAAGTGGTTTATAGAGTCAGCCTCTTTGCTCCCAACAATCTGGGTCCTCATTTTACCGACCTCAGAAGGATGGAAGGTTGAGTCAATCAATCTTGATTGAACTCCTGGCAGTGGGCAGAGTTAGCCTGAAACACTGCATTCTAACCACTCCACCACTATACCTTCCTTCCTAAGCAATAGCAGACTTATATACCGCTTCATGGTGCTTTCCAGCCCTCTCTAAGGGGTTAACAGAGTCAGCCTCTTTGTCTCCTAACAATCTAGGTCCTCATTTTACCCACCTCGGAAGGACGGAAGGCTGAGTCAACCTTGAACCGGTCAGGATCGAACTCCTGACAGTAGGCAGAGTTAGCCTGCAATAATGTATTCTAACCACTGCACCACAATACCTTCCTTCCTTCCTTCCTTCCATGGTGCACAGTGGTTAGAATGCAGTACTGCAGCCTACTTCTCCTTCCCAAACAATAGCAGACTTATATACCGCTTCACGGTGCTTTCCAGCCCTCTTTAAGCGCTTGACAGAGTCGGCCTCTTTCCCCCAACAATCTGGCTCCTCATTTTACCCACCTCCAGAAGGAGGGAAGGCTGAGTCGACCTGGAGCCTGGTGGGATTTGAATTGCCAAATTGCAGGCAGCCAGCAGCCAGCAGAAGTAGCCCGCAGGACTGCAACTCTGACCGCTTGGTAGCTCAATCAACACAGACAGAGAGGTCCCAAGTCGGAGGACGACACCGCCACCACTCGTGAAGGGCGCTAAGGAATGGGATTTTTAACCGTGGTTGGACCGTGGGTGTGGCCCATCCCTCTTGAGATTGTGGGGAGGACCTTGGGAAGAAATCCAGGGGCGTCCCAGACACTCACCGTGGGGTCCGTCCAAAGGGAACACTTCGCGCAGTCTTGGCACGGGGCTCCCGGGGAACGAGGGTGCTGGCAGAAGTGGTCGTAGCCATTAATGGCCGCTCGGCAGAGGTAGCACATCTGGGCCCCGCAACGACATGACATGCGGTTGCAGCCTTCTGATTTGATCAAGCCGGTGGCGCATTTGTGGCACTTCCTGATGCAGGCTGCTGTCATCTTCTCTTCTCTGGAAGGCAATGGGAGAAGGGTCAGGCGGGGAGGATGGTGTCAGGGCTCCGACAATCCGCCCCCATTTAAATCATGAGTCTCTAGCTGGATTTCCAGACCTTAAAGAAGATCAATTAGGAGTAAACATGCCGGTGCTACCTGGGTGTAGCCAACACTGAGGCAACATCATTCATTGTCATCCCTTGACCCTGGTTTTCCACCCACCCCTCTGGGTGTATCGCAATTCATATTCTCCAATGGGACACCGCCATAGCCCAGAGTCGTCAATCATACGCCCCAGTTAGAATTTTGCACGGCAGAAACTTCGGTCGCCTAGAAACTATCTTTGAAAAACATTTATGGAATGTGCTTTCGATTTGCAAACTGCTGCATTGCTCCCCCCCACCTCCCTTTTTGCTGGCAACTCTAAAAAGACCATAGTGGGATTACCTGAAAGTAGGGGGAATACAGTGATTTGGGTAGTAACTGATTTGTTTTCCAAACAGGTACATTTCATACCTTGTCCGAAAATCCCATCTGCAAAAACGTTGGCTAAACTGTTTAGTTTACGTATCTACAATTTTGCTTTGTTCTACGCTGGGGTTGTTTTTTTGTGTTTTTTAAAGGGTGCCTTTTATCTAACCTTACTTACAGCAGCTGCCTAGAGCGATGTCTCTGAGGTGGGTGGCCATATTGTTGCTTTAGACAAACAGCCAAATAAAGAATCGAAGGAGACGAAAAACCAATTAAGTCTAAACATTCATCACCCATCCACGTTCTGCATCTGCAGGTTTTAAAGACGGTCTCCCGGAGAACCAGCCGCACAGCGAAACTTTCGGGTGGAAACAATGGAAGGTCTGAGGAACCAGTGGCAGGAGGATGGTGACTTCTGGCAGAGAGAGAATGCAAAGCCGCGGGGGCGAAAAGGAGGCCGGGGGGGGGGGGGAAGTGAACCCCACCCCCTCAATAGTTTTCAACCGAGCGTAGCTGCTTGTTGCTTAGTTACCGGGATGCTGCCAAAGAAATTGGGCCTACTAAGGTCTGTAAAGCCATGTTTAGAGTAGCAGTAGCACTTACACTTATATACCGCTTTACAGCCCTCTCTAAGCAGTTTACAAATGTTAGCCTCTTGCCCCCAACAACCTGGGTCCTCGTTTTACTGGCCTCGGAAGGATGGAAGACTGAGTCCACCTTGAATCGGTGAGGATTGAACTGCTGGCAGTGGGCAGAGTCAGCCTGCAATGCTGCTTTCTAACCACTGGGCCACCGCAGATAAATGATAAATAGATAGCAATAGCCCTTAGACTTGTACACCGCTTCATGGTGCTTTCCAGCCCTCTCTAAGCGGTTTACAGAGTCAGCCTCTTGCCCCCAACCAACCTAGGTCCTCGTTTTACCAGCGTCAGAAGGATGGATTTGCAGACCTTTGATGCAGATGTCGGGTGGGTTTCTCTAAATCCTTCCTTGCAGCTCCCACTTTTTGAGATAAGACCAGATCAGGAAGCAGAGCCCACATGAAAAACTCGAGGTTTACTTTACTGTTATGTGGAAGACTAACGCCATCTCGAAAGCTTCTCCTTCCCCCACTCTCACGCCAAAGAGACACCAGGCAGTACAATCTTGAGTTTCTTTCTCACCCTTTCCTGTTTTTCCCCAGCTAAGCTGGTGTTTTTGTAACAACCACCTCTGAGTTGTCCCTAAGCCCACCTTCCCCCCTCTTCTACGCTAGCCAGCTGTTAAAAACCATCAACACAATTTCCCATAGTTGGAAGTGGCAGATAGACAAAAGCTAACATCTGAGCCTTAAAATACTTTAAAAATAAAAAATTCCCCACCCACTAAACTCAGGAAACGGTGAAACATCCTGTCTTAAGTTCAGGTGCAAGAAATGGCCTCGTCCCTTTGTATGAAAACACCAGGCTTCTTTCTCTAAAGCTAGCAAGTGGCTCATTTCTGCACTAAGCCAGTTTGTTCCGATCACAGTTTATGAAAAACAGCCACGTTGGTTGGGTTATACTGTCATGATATGCCCTAGAGGTGTTAAAAGGGCCACTGTGCAATCCTCTCTTTGCAAAACGATGATTAGCAGTCCTGGCTTGCAAAGGTAAATGGGAAAAAGAGGCTATACCCCGACCCTCACTTAGGAAACGTATAAGCAGGGGTCCCTCTCAGTGACCAGGAAACGTCATCAGGAAATGATCTTTAACAAGACAACATGCAAATTTCTAGCCTCAGATGGTTGTTTCCATCGGTAATCAACGGTGATGTCTCCCTGACCTTATAGAGAGCAGAAAGAAGGAAAAATAGTGTCATTCTATTTAGCAGAATGGAAAAAACAAATGAAAGGTTTGCATATGGCGCAAAGGAGACAGCAGGGCCTCTGCAAAATAGGGAAGATAACGTAAATTACCCACAATGCATTCAGAACCACCATTCTAGAATAATTTTGGGGTCTCCTAGCTCAACTTTGCCAAAACTTCCAATTCTTCTCTGCAGTAGCCCAACTGCCCGTCACCAGACCCCATTTAGAATAGGATAGATTTCTTTATTGGCCAAGTGTGATTGGACACACAAGGAATTTGTCTCCAGTTGCATAAGCTCTCGGTGCACATGCAAACAGCGAAGTGGTAAGTCATAGATCACCAATCGTTAGATACAAACAACAAGCGATAAATCACAAGATGCCAATAGGAGAAGATAGTAGGAAAGATAATAGAAAATATGAGGGTAATAGCAATGCAACTTACTATGTGGTTGTACTTATAGGTAGAAGTATGTACTATGTACTACTTGTATGGTAGTATGCACTATGGCTGTCTTTATATGTAGTAGAATGTACTAAGTATGTAGTACATTCTACTATTTATATGTAGTACATGCTACGTATAAATACAGCCATGTAGTATGCTGTATTGCTATTATCCTTCTCATCTTTCTTCATGTACATAGTAGTATGTACTATGGCTGTATTTATATATAGTAGTATGTACTACGTATAAATGTAGTACTATGTACATAGCATATACTACTACATTTATCTTATGTTTCACTAACTATGGATACCTGGTTTGAAACACAGGTAACTACACCTTAAAACTTCTATTATTCCATTATATTCTAATTCTGTTCTATTCTTTCCAATATCCTATGCTTTTCAATATCCTATCCTATCCTATCCTATCCTATCCTATCCTATCCTATCCTATCCTATCCTATCCTATTCCATTCCGTCATGGCATAGGAAAAGTATTTCCTCACTAACTTATCTTGTTAGTATCCCCCAATGAAGAGGTGAACATAATTAAAAAAACCTTGCAATCTTGCTCTACGAGCCCCAACTAAAATAGCCACGTTGTACAGTATCTTCCAGCTTTGAGCTGGAAGATTGTCCTACAAACAGTTTTTAGGGATTGAGGCAATGTGATTTTCCAGTGAAGCTGACCCTACTGGGCTAATAATTCAAATTCCTTTTTTGGTCACTGCCTTCACGATCCGGGAGGCCAGCAAGAATAACTCAGCGGGAAGCCCATCGTCCTCTTCCGCGCTATTCCCATCTCGCCTTTCCCCAAACAGGAAATCCTCAGCCAGGCAGGAAGGTGGCTCTGAATTCCCGCTGAGCTTCCTCTCTTCCTTTGGCTCAAACAGGAAGACCCATTGTCCGAGTTTCAGCTGGGCCCAGCGGTTCGCCAAAAGACGCTGAAAAAAAAAGGATGCCCAGCCGAGTTCTTCCTTCCCCTCTTCTTCAGACGAATCAAGCTAAAAACCCGGTGTATTATGAGATTATATTATTCTTGATAAATATATCCTGCGGAAGCACGATGGGAGTTTTTTAAAAAATAAATAAATAAATAAAGTATCTTAATAATAATATATTATTATAGATTATATTATAGATTATATTATTCTTGATAAATATATCCTGCGGAAGAATGGCAGCACGATGGGAGCTTTTTTTAAAATAAAATAAAATAAAGTATCTTAATAATAATGTAGAGTTGTTTGGCAAGACAAGGAGGGACAAAGGACGGAAGGGGAATAAAAACTACAGCGCCGTCTTTCCTCGCCTTTGCTGGGATCCTTTTCTGACCGCAGTAAACCAGGCAGGCAGAATCCTTGGCCTCCATCCTTCTGAGCCCTGAGCCCAACCTAACAGGATGGTGCGTCTGTTTTATTGCCCTGGCTCTCTCCGGTTCACTTCCGTACGCACGCGGGTTTTTGGGTCCCCTCTCTGCTGCTTTGGAAGTGTGTTCCTGGGCCTTGTGATTTGAGAAAGCCCACCCAGCTCAAGGGAGGGGCTTCCAAGTATCCGCTTCTTGTGGCTCTTGCCTCAGAACGGCACAAAGGTTTCCACGCTTGTAGGAAGAAGGGTGAGATTTTGACTTCTGTTGGAGCCGGACAACAAGATTAAGGATCTCTCCCCTCTCCCTCCCTCTTTTTCTTTCCTTCCTTCCTTCCCTTCCTCCCTCTTTTCTTTCTTCCTATCCTTTCCCTACTTCCTTTTCTCTCCCCCTCCTTTTCCTTCCTTCCTTTCCTCCCTTCCTCCTTCTACCCTTTCCCCACTAATTCTTTTTCTCTCTCTCTCTTTTTCCTCCCTTCCTTTACCCTTTCCCTACTTCCTTTTTTCTTCTCCTCTCCCTCCCTTTTTCCTTCCTTCCTTTCCTTCCTCTCTCCCTCCACCCTTTCCCTACTACTTCCTCTCCTCTTCTTCCCTTTTTCTTTCCTTCCTTCCTTTCCTTCTTCTCTCCCTCCACCCTTTCCCTACTACTTCCTCTCCTCTTCCTCCCTCTTTTTCTTTCTTTCCTTCCTTTCCTT